CTTCCTGGGATTGACTCCCCCTCTGCCCCGTGCTTCCTGGGATTGACTCCCCCTCTGCCCCGTGCTTCCTGGGATTGACTCCCCCTCTGCCCCGTGCTTCCTGGGATTGACTCCCCCTCTGCCCCATGCTTCCTGGGATAGGCTCCAGACTGAACCTGTAAAGTGACTGAAAAATGGATTAATGGACATAAAAGCTAAATATATAATTTAAATTCTAATAGTACCTGTTATTGCATGTGCATCATCCTGCACTGTAACATCATGATCAAAGCAATTATCTGAAATAGTAATTTGAGAAGTCGCCTCAAGGTATAACTGCTGAAAAACATTCAGCCTGTTCCGTATCTAAATTCCTTTTCCCCTATATTTTTGTTTATCTAAAAATTATCTAAAAAATTATCTAAAAATTTAATTAAAAAAAACTTAATCAAAAATTGCAATCGACTTATATATAGTTATATATATACGCATCCTGTTTTCTTACATATGTTTATATTTATGCCTGAAAACGAACGTGATTACCAGACATTGCCCGAGTTAAAGGCAAAGTTGCGTCATGAGCGCTTTAAAAAATTATGTCACACCTTTGCGTCCCCATATATACATCGCTACTACAACACGCAAAGGAAGACCCAAAAATAACATGTCAAACCAATTAACACTATTAATTTACTTTAAGTTTAGTTACGTCAGTCGTGCACTGCGGAAAACATTTGCTGTAAAATAATGCATTACTGAACCACTGGTGAACAATCACACCTAGAAATTACATTAATTTAGATTTTTGATTGGGTATATAAATACAAAATTGACTGCATATCCTAGCTGAATTAAATGTAGAATCTGTTTGACGTGACGATCATCTTCCTTGTACACATTTTATCCGGGTTCCTTGTCCAGTTCCTCATTTCCTCAATATACGCCTGAAACATGATCGGCAATTTCCTGGGTTGAGTTCCCCTTTAAGAGGGCAGCGCTCCGGTGCTGGGAATCCGCGTCATTTCGGCACTTCAATACCCAAATCAATGAGCGATGCATTGTCCGCCTCTCAGTTTCAGGCTTCCAGGAAGAAACTAACCTACAACACTGCAAAAAATGCACATCACAACATAGGAGGAAAACAAAGAAGTTGGACACCGCGGGCAGGAAGGCGCGTACGGAACTGCAAGTGTGAATGATACATGTGCATCGGAGTCCGATGAAAACCCGAGCGAAGTGTTTAAGTGGCGTGTGAACAGTTTCTTTTTTTTCTGGGGTATTTCAAGGAAAAAAGGGGAAAGGAAAGTGGGGGAAGAAGGAGAACTTCCTGAATTGAGTAAAACATGTCCGAATCCCCGTTGCGCTTAATAATAAAGGTATTTATGGAATACTTACGGCAGATTAAGTTGTGAGCCGAGGACTCTGTGCTGGATGTGCTTTATGGCATCGTGTCGCTAGGAAAGGCAGCGCTTTTTGCGGGTCTTATCATCTGTTGCGGTGGGAGCGTGTTGTGCGCAGCGCTCGGTAAGTGCCGTGCTGCGTTAACCGACCCCCCTGTGCACCGGGCTGGGCACTCTGGGGGCCGATGACCCCCTTACCCAGCCTGGCACACGTGTGCCGATTGATAAACCAAGCGGTAACCCCCCCACCTCCGCATTTACGTGTCATTGAAAGTATCTGGATATTGTAACATGTAATGAGTAAAACGTAATTGCAACAACAAAGTTACTGCGCTCCTGTAAGAGGCGCATGCTGTTGAGTTTAGATGTACTTACATACAACATAGTCATATTTAATATTTTGGAAATGTGCACAATGGTTTTAACATAATTTGATATTTTGAAAATGCTTACGGTTATTATTATAAAAGCTCAGACTGGTTATAAGACTAACGTGGTAGGTAAATCAACGACCGTGTTATTCTTCTACTTCTGGATTTTAAGTTTTGAACTTCAGACTCGGGGAAACTTCAGCTGGCTCCGTAGGTGGAGTTACATTTTATGTTTGTTTATTTTGGTACAATAGTACATTTGTTGCGTTATCTATTTTAGTGTTACACAGATTGGAAACATGTTCGTTTTATGTTCTATCTAAATGAAAACGTTTAAATTTAATCTTTAATGAAATATAATTTTATGGTCTAGTTACCAATGATTAGATAGCAAGAGGATGCTGTTATTATAAAAAAATTAATATGTAGTCTGAGCAAAATTTTGTTCATCGAAACACGCGAATTGCACTTCACATTTAAACTATGAAAGGTAAACTGGGCTGTTTCCACGCATGTCCAATAACTGACAAGATAAACCCACATGTAACAACAGTAAGTTGAACCTTATTTTTATTATTCTGAGATGAGTTAAATACACAGTCGCACGTGTCCGTTTTGCTGCTGGCTGATAAAGGACAAAAAAAGGAAAAGACGTGAAAGGCGCAGACGTGGCTGGAAGAGCTGCGCTATCTTAGTAATTATTAGTCTGTTAATTTAGACAATTCAGGTTTTAATTTTTTTTTTACTATATTCATTTCAACCTTTGCTTTTAAGTATTTAAATAGTTTTTTGGGTCAGCCCAAGAAATCTTTGCCCAGGGCATTCGATAACCCTGTCTTTTGCTCATGAAAAACTAAGACATGGTAAAAAAAAAATATTATTTGCAAGAAGAACAATTGGGACATTTAAAAAGCTCAGCCAACATGCTGGCATTTTCCTTCTATTGGCCTGTGAACGTTTCCTGTTTTCCTTCAGGTGGACACTGACGTCTTAGATGTGCAGTTGAAATTCTTGGTGCTGATTTTCTCATACAGTCTTACGGTTGGAGGTTTTTATCGTGATGGGGAGGCTGTGCATTCTGGCCGTTTTGCTAACATCCAGCTGTTTGGGAGCTGTGTAGGCCTTGGGTGCTGGAATGACCAGCACAGCATACACCACAGAATCCAAATAGCTGTTGCATGCTGGACACTAATAAACCGATCACAGTCCAGTCTCTCTACCTCTTAATAACAAGAAAAGTTGCTGCACAGTGATCAGCATTAATGTGCCAGTGAGCACATGACGTTCAAACACGTGCTGAGAGAATTAGGAAAGGTACTGTAATTGGTTCTCTACATAGCTCTGGATAATGCTTCCATTTGAGATGGTTAGGACCCCATTTAAGATTCGAAAAGTGCTTCTCTCTGCCGAAAACACCTCCAATCTCTCTGTCTTCTCCCCCCTCTGGTTATGATTTTGAGCTTAAGAACATAAGAACATAAGAAATTTACAAATGAGAGGAGGCCATTCGGCCCATCAAGCTCGTTTGGGGAGAACTTACATTGCTGAGAATCACAATTTTTGTGATTGCGTTCTCTTTTCCTTTAAACCCTCCATAGTGGACCAGATGTCTCTTGGCCATTAATGAACATTAATGAAAAGGTCGCACTGCCTGCTCCCTCTGTACCCTACGAGCGGCTCGGTCCCCCGTGGGGATGCCGGTGTCCACCATATGCACACAGAGGCCATAAGACTGATACATTTGGATTGGTTTGGTTCAGAATGGAGAGGGATGACCCGCCCCCCAATGAACTCACAGTGAACCTGCATCCTTTAAACGATCATAGTATGCAAATGAAGAACTTCTCTGGAGATATTACTTTGTTTATACTGCTCTTCAGCTGAGGGTGACTTCACCGCACTAACCACACTCCACGCTTCACCTCGTCCGTCTAACCAGAGCCGGCTGAGAAAGTGCAACCTTTTTTCATATGGATAGAAAAATTCCGAACGAATGCGCTAATCTTCTGAACTCCTCCAGTACGATAATGCAGCACTGCAGTGACGTTCTTACAGCAAAACAAATAGTCTGAGGTCATGGGGAGATCTTCAAGGCCTTTATGAGTTCGATAGCTGGGTGAAACGGGCCTACTGTAGACTGTATTAGGTTTAAAAGAATCTTCCAGATGGATCCATTAATCCACATTATGTTTGCGCTCCCAACTGATTCAGACAGGAAGATATATTTATTCTCTCATTACGCTTGTGAGTCCATTATATTCTTACAGTGGCTGCACTGTTCAAAAGAGGCACAACTTCCACTTTTTATATGAGTAACAGAAAAATCAACATGCTCCCTGGATACTTTTGACTGGGGGGAAAGTCCACTCAACTGGACATTTTCCCGTTTGACTAGGACCTGTTCGAGTCTTGATGCACAATGTTGTAAATATTGAATCTTTAAATACAGGTTTAATCTATTAAGCTAAAATCATTTGTATGTTTTATTGTTCTGTTTGTGTAGAGTAATTCATTTACCTGCTTCACTTTTCCCATCTCTCAAAACGAAGGGTGTATTCTGGGTAAGATCCCAGTGAGTCGTATGGTACACACACATACAACAGGCAATTTAGTCATTCAGACTCACCAGTCGAGCTGAACAGCATGACTTTGGGTTGTGGGAGGAAACCAGAGTAGCTGAAGGGAAGATATGTATGTCTTTAAAAATAAGTAAATAAATATATTTTTGCCTTGACAGTAATATCGTTGCTGTTTTTTTTTTTTTTTTTTTTTGTGATGCCATTTGTTGGGTGTGATCAGTCCGTGGGTTTAAAGATGTGCTTTGTGTTCTGTTTCTATTCATAGCAGGAAAGGGTCCTATTCAGCCCTTCGGAGAGCCCCCTGCCAATCTCCACTTCCTCTCCTCTTCATGTTCCAGCATCTCGACGGGCCAGCAGGATGGAGGAAGAGCCAGCGCGCCTGCCTACACACCTGCGTGAGTGCGCGCAAACACACGCACGCACACACACACACACGCACACACACACACACACACACACACACACACAGACAGCCATCACGGACTCGGCCGTACACCTGCACTACTACACGGAATCGCACATGCAACATGGATACAGGACGCACTGAAGCACAAACGCCTCTGTAGCCTTTGTTGTAAGTTTGAGTGGTGCCCATGTGCAGATGTGTACCTATGTATGTCCTCCTTGGTTGTATGTGTGTCTGCCTCCTACCTGTGTGTTGATGGTTTTCAGGGTAATGGGAGTCAGGGCACTGACACACACACACACACACACGCACACACACACAGATACACGCACGCGCACACACATACATACACACACACACGCACATGTAGGGTAAACATATCCTTATAGGGACCGCTCATTCATTTCAATGGGAAAAATGCTAACGCTAACTATGACAACCTTAACCCCTACCCTGCCCTAACCATAACCATAAGTAACCTAACAAAATACAAGAGTTTTTGCATTTTTAGTTTATTCATAGCAGTCACCGATTTTTATGAAATAGAGTTATTTATCACGTTATGGGGACATTGCACACACACACACACATACACACACACACACAGACACACACACATATTCACACACACACACACACAGAATGCATGGACATGTGACTCCAGAAAACACTCATGGACACACGAAGCAGACTTCGAGCTACTGCACCTGCGCATTCTGTAACAGGGGAGCTGGGCTCTCGGAGACGCTCTGAAATGCATACCTACGCACAGAGCTTCAGGGCGCAGCGTAGGGGAGCCCTCAGCATGAGTGAAGGTCCTCAGCATGAGTGAAGGTCCTCTTTGGGTTTGGGGCTGTCAAACATGTGCCTGACTAAATTATGCACACGGAGACAGACATGCACTTGCCGTCATTTGCGTATTTGTTTTTACGTGCAGAGACATACTCAGACACTCAGGAATGCCTTCGGGCTGGATGTTGGTGGATTCGTAGGTGTGGCACCTGTCTTGGTATATGTCAGATTGCATTGTGTCCCTATGAGTGGCATTTCCAAGATGCCTAGGGTTGGCATTTGGGTGTGTTGGGTGGGCACCATTGTTTCATTTGTCAGAGGTCTTGGGCGGTCTGGGGGCTGTTGTCTTCTGCAAAAGTTGATGACTAGTGCCGATGCGTAGGTCAGGCAGGCAGTCTGCTTGGTTAGGCATCTCTGCCCACCAGTAGCCAAACTACTGGTTCCAATCCTTTTTCTGAATGACCTTTGGGTTCCTCATTCACTTTACAGTCCAGTAGCATGGGTACTACAGAGCTACTGTAAAGGGGGGAAAGAGAGGACGACTCCAGGGGGCCCTGAGTGACAGGGGGCCCTAAAAAATAGCATCATAAATGGGATGGTCTGGGTTGAGGGCCCAGATTATTTTTTCATGGGGCCCAAAATCTCTAGAAGCTTCCCTGGAAACCAGCATTAGTAAAGATATCCCTCCTGCCATCCCGAGCTTATCAGTACTGGAAAGAACAGGTTCTCCTATAAAGAGAAATTTCTTAATATTTCTCTTTTTGGCCAAACGTATGTCTGATTCATATAAAATGGCTGGCATTCCCCTTTTTAGTTGCTAGCATTATAGGGTCCTGATCATCGGCGAATGGAGTGTCATCGTTGCGCGTTTTAAATCCCCAGGCACCGCGAGCCCTTCCACCCCCGCCAGAAACCTCTCCCGCCATCATTTACCGAAAATGTCCCATCTGCACGCTCTGTAGTGATGCGCGGAAGACACGAGCTCACCCACACGCCGGGATCACCAAGCCAGACGACGGAGCGACCGTCACCGCGACTGAGGTCTTCCTGCTTTTTAAAGCATGCAGTTGAACGGAGTGGGTTCTGTCTATCTGGATCATTTAGTCTGAGAGTTGAGTGTTAAGAAGTGACTTGCTACCCATGGTGTTCTGATTGAACAGCCCACTCCTTGATCAGCCTGCCTGTTGCCCCCCCCCCCCCCCATCTAACTTCAATCCCAGCTTGGGGGGGGGAGGCTTGTTATTCATTCATTCATTAACCAGTCCTTAGGTTAGACTGCCTCATTAAGGACTTCCTGGAACAAGCTGACGGGGGGGGGCATGCCAGTTCATGCCGTCCTGTTCTAAAAAAATGAGCCGGGGTTCCAATTGGCCTAAAGGACACTTCAGTCTAACACTGGGAACCAAGTGCTCAGGTGTCTATTCCCCCAGATGACTTTCTTTGACCCTTTCGGGGGTCTTCATACCTGTCATGGAGGTGACCTTCACCCTGTGAGCGATCATACGGACTCCTGGCCCGCGGGACCGCCATCGGTGAGCCCGCGCCGTCCACATCGCTCTTTCCAGCGGCTTGCTGAACTGATTTTTGGCTCTCACTTCCTTTTTCCCTTGTACACTTCCTGCCACTTGGCAGCGAAAAGCCTTAAATTATCATCAGGAGATTTGAGGAGGAACTCGGAGGTTGGCAGTTCATGCATTAGCGCTGATGAGTGCGACTGGGGCGCAGCGGCGTGTTCTACCCGGTTCTCAGATCGACAGGCTTTTTAGCAAGTGTGGCATTTGGATTTTGACACAAGGTGTAGGAAACCGAAAGAAAGGAAATGACCTAGACTGTTAGTGATGTCGGTAAATGACTTATGTCATTTACGTGCTTTTGTCCCTTCACTAATAGTGAATCAATATAAAATCTTTGTCGCTTGTTTATCCAGTGTGGAAACGACTGATACAAGTTATAAAATGTTTGATTATCGGTTTCATTTATCTCTACCGTTCATGTGATATTGTTGAAGTACCGTTTGTACGTAGCCTTACACGTGAAGGCAAGGATGAATAGAGGCTCAGGAAATGTGCCGTAATTAGGTCGGGTGTCAAACTGCTTCGTCAGGGTGAAAGAAAAGATCCGGGCAGAAGTCCACGTTCCGTTTTCTCCATTTCCTGAAGGGGAAGTACAGCTCCTGTAAGGAGGCGCTTTGTCGTGTGGTTTCGGAGTCGCCTCTGGCCCCAGGAACCGTCAGGCGTCCTGCGTCCCATAAACGACGCGCTCGGTGCGTGGCGTTCGCTTCGGACTGAGCGTCCGCTAAACAGACTCGCTATTTCCTCTGTTTTTCATGCTGCGGGACTGTCACGAATGCGGGGTTGCCTTAAGCCAAACGTGCCTCAAACTGCACTCCACAAGACACAATAATGATAATTAATCCGGCCGTCGGCTGGGCGGCTCGACGATCTGAAGGCATTGGGCGTCAGCCTTACCTGACCTGGGAGTGCCAAACCATGATCGTTGGGCTCTTTGCTGTGGATTTCCCATCTGTTCCCCGTGAGGAGGAAACGCAGTGAAACTGCATGTCTGCTACCGAGAACAGGTTTGCTATTTTGAGAACAAAGGAGGAAGACTGGGCAACCGGGCTGGTGTCAGAGGAGAGCAATAAACGGAGATTAAAAGGAGCTGTATTTTGAGTTTCCCAAATATAAACTACCCTATCAGCTATTAAATTAATGGCCTCTCAGTACCTGTTAACACTGTATTTTTTTGCCTTTGGCATTTCGAATGAGCAGGTGGAACACGACGCGTGATTCTGTTTGGTAAAGTGCAGTTCTTGCGGTGCCTTTTTACTCATCCTTAACTCTGGGATGTTTTTGGGTCCGAATCCGTACTGACAGCGCAGTGACTTCTCGGAAGATGTGCTGTCTCGAGTTTTGCTTGTTAGGGAAATATGCAGTTATGCGACGAGCTCCGGAAGAAGTAGAATCGGGACTTAAAAATAGCCTCCCTGGCACTTGGTGGAGCAGCATATTCTGCGTTAATTCCATGAGCTGACACCCTGTGATGGCTTACATAGTCTACAGTAGTTACACAGCTGAGAATTACTGTAGTTGTTGGGATTTAAATGGCTGGTTCAAGAATAAAACTGAGGCTTCCCTCCTGATTTGAGCCTGATATTTTAAATGTATTACATTCAGTGCTTCCTCCTGGTGCCTCGAGGGGTTTTTCCAATTCATGTGGGGAACAATCTTTCCCCAGAAGGCAGTAGGTTCACTTCCTCAGTATTTCCTAAGCGTTTCGCAGAGTACCTTTTTCTCACGTTTCGCAGAGTACCTTTTTCTCACGTTTCGCAGAGTACCTTTTTCTCACGTTTCGCAGAGTACCTTTTTCTCAC